GGTGTCATGAGACCTCACTTTTATAAATTTGAGATTGGATGTGTGATAGGGGTGACAAATTTAAACACAAACTCGGATATTCCCACAAAACTTAATTGGTTAACGCAATTAAAATCTGCATTAACTTGATTCGGGTAAAATCGTCCTCGAAAAGATGCAGACACAAGTCGAGAAAGGATATCATAGTATCGGTTCTAAAATATATCTGAACCCGAATGTATAAGCTTAATGAACCGCTATTTCTCATGCACGCCAACAACTACTCTCATACTCTTTGATATCTTTACTTTATCACATTAATTTTCCTCTTTCTTCAATATAGTTAAACACTCATTAACCACAACCTTCCAACCATAATGATTCACTCATTTCTCAGACCTGTTGAGTTATTCGCCTGCGTGTTGGAGCTTTTTCTTGAAGCTTGTAAAACCTCTCTCCATCTTCAAATGAACTCTTCAATTCTCCTTTTATTGCGGTTTTGCTTAGGAGTCTTTATTCGGTCGATCAATTGTTCCCCAAGAAATAGTGTTTTGTCTTTCTTTTCTATTTAAGGTTTGTAGCTACTTGATGTATGTACCCTTCTGTAATAAGAACATCATAAATGATATGTCAACCATGAGCTCATTGGAGCTCACCGTGGATTAGTCTCGTTCATTTAGATTGATGATACCACCTAAAACTCTTCGTGTTACGTTGTTCTTTGATTTCGCGTTAGCGTTTTCTACATGGCATCAGAGCTAACCACGATATGTTAGGGTTTGCTTCTTCTCTACTGTCACTCGGTCTTGCTGCCGCCTTGATCTTCGACTTCTGCAGGAAACATGGCTACTCACTCCTTCAGATAAGAAGGGAAGGACGTTCTTCCCCCTTCTTCCGACGTCATCGGTCTGACGTCGCCTCTCTATCTTCACCCATCGGACGCACACAACCAAGTCTTTGTCGGCCATCTGCTCAGCGATCTCAACTACAATGAGTGGTCCGCTGAAATCTCTAATGCTTTGATTTCTAAAAATAAGCTTGCTTTCGTTCTTGGCACCACTCCGAGCCCACAGTTGGGCGAGTTACTCAATGCTTGGACACACTGCCACGCCATATTTGTCGGGTGGCTTCACAGCGCAATGACTTGGGACATTCGTACTAGCATCAATATTGGTTTTACGACCAAAGAGATTTGGGATGAATTACAAGAGCGCTTCAGCACTGGCAATCTTCCTCTTCCTTATAAGCTGCATCGCGAGATCACTAGCCTGCGACAAGACAACTGAATGTGGCTTCATTATACTCAAAACTCAAACAACTCTAGGACGACTGGTTCACCCTCGATCCTCCTGCGAAGTGTACTTATGGGTTGTGCAAAGGTGTACTTGTATTTTATTCAAATAGCATATAAGAGTGGGTCGGGGCGGTGGGGCGGAGCATGGGTATTGAGTTACCCGCCCTGCCCCAACCCATTGCCATCACTATGAGTAGATCACTATGGTGAGAGGAAAGGCCGACATTGCCATAGATTTTTATCAAACTCTCTTCACCTCGGAAAACAAGGTGTTGAACATGGCAGAACGGGTTGTCGATCTTCCTATAGCATGTCATGTCACAGATGAAATGAATGTCAGTCTTAAGACAAAAGTCCTTCCTAGTGAAGTCCGGAAAAATGTCTTCTCCATGGGTTTGAAACAGACACCAGGGTCGGATGGTTTCACGAGAAAGTTTTTCAAAGCCTTCTGGGATATTATCGCAAATTCTGTGATTGAAGCGGTCTGCTAGTTCTTTACCGCAGGATAATCCGTAGCTTTAATCATACTTAGTTGATGCTGATCGCGAAAGTGGATAATGTTGAGACCACGAGACAAACCAGACCAATTAGCTTATGCCAATTTGTCTATAAAGTTATAACCAAAATCATGTGTGAAAGACTTGCCTGCCTATTGCCACATATCATTTCGGAAGATCAAAATGCATTCATCCATGAACGGAAAATAGTGGAGAATGTATGTCTTGGGCATGTGTTGATGCACTACTTGAAAATCAAAACGCGGGAAAAGAAGGGTACATTGTTGCTCTTAAGGTTGACATGGAAAAGGCCTATGATAGAGTCGAATGGCCTTTTCTCCTTGTGGTTTTGAACAAGATGGGTTTTTAACTCCACCTGGAGAGGCTGGATACAAGAATGTCTCAGATCAACTTTGTTTACTGTCCTTATGAATGGCACACCTTCGGGATTCTTCACTCCCTCTAGAGGACTATGACAAAGGGGGTTCGCTCTCTCCTCTCTTGTTTGTGATTTGCACAAAGGGGTTGCGGCACTCCTTCGAGAAGACATTTCGGAAGGAAAACTAGAAGAGGTCAAAGTATCCCCTAGAACTCCTCGGATCTCGCATCTATTTTTTTTTTTACAGATGACTCTTATTTATTCCTTCGAGGTTCTCTACCGGAATGTGAAAATTTAATCAAGGTGTTAAATGAATATGAGGAACTAGGTGGCCAAAGGGTTAACTTGGATAAATCGGCAGTATGCTTTAGTAAGAATATCGTTCTATCATACCAAGATTTCCTGGCTCAGATTCTGGGTGACGGGGCTGTGAGAGTCCAAGATAAATATCTAGGGTTGCCTACTCTGATAGCCAAATTGAAAATGGCTATGTTCCGGTATTTGGAGGAGAATTTGCTAGGTCGGCTTTAGAGGTGGAAGCAGCGGACTCTGTCTTGGGCATCGAAGAAGACTTTGATCAAAACAATCGCTTTAGCTTTACCATTGCATGTTATGTCCTGCTTCAAGTTACCTCTCTCTCTCTCTCTCTCTCTTTCTCTCTCTCGCCTCTTGGACAAACTTGTTGCCAGAATCTAGTGGGGTGTGGAAGATGCTCAATCGAAGATACGATGGATGTCCTGGCGAAACATGTGCAGGAGTAAGCATGAGGAGGCATGGGATTTTGCCGATTTGAGAATTTTAACCAGACGCTTTTATCTAAGTTTGGCTGGCGTATCCTTAACAAACCCAACTCCCTCTTGGCCTAGTTTTATAAAGGGAAATATTTTCCAACTAGACTTTCCTTAGTGCTACTGCGCGCTCTCGTCCTTCTTGGGGTTGGAAAAGTATCCTTTACGACCGATAATTGTTGGTGCAAGGGCTATGATGGTAGATTGGTAATGGGCAAACAGCTCCTCTGCTTAATGTCAATTGGATTCCTCGACTGCATCTGATATGATCCCAAATGGCCAACTATACACATTTTTATTACTTGCCAAAGAAGCTATCAAGGTTGGAAAGAAAAGATGCAGAATTTGGTTAAGTGTTGGAACAGTGTCGAGGTACCTACTTTGGAGGCTTGGTTCTCACAATTGGCTCAATGAAAATTCAGATTCCCTAGTCAATATAGTAAAATTTTCCGGTGAGTCAATGAAATTGACACGCTAAAACACAACACCTAACAATGGCCAAGTGTAACCAATGAAAGGGACTGCAGTATAGTGGCACAAGTAATAAATATCGAACCCACGGGTCTCTAGAGTTACTATTACTCAGCTTCAGTTCATTATCTAGCAAACTAGATTAAGGATTGATTTACTAAACTACTCTACTAACTACTCTACTAATTACAAGTTGGGAACTCACTTAGGTATGATTCCCCCTAGCTCCTGAATTAGGTCCAAGTTGAAATTACCTTTGGTTGATCTACTGTTGATTAAACTGTGGAAGATCCGACAGTAGCTTGGAATCTCTTAAGCTGACCAAGCCCTCTCAGTCCAACTACCCGGCAGACGACTAGTCTTCACCAGGATAGAAAGCTGAGGCTATGAACACAGAACTCCACTACCGGAATTGGATTCCAGTACAAAGCAGTAGATTGACTAACTCTCGTATAACCAATTCACCACTATCAATCAAGGAAGCTCTCTTAACCTAATCAGATTCTATCTATCATAGGTTAAAGCAGAAATCAAGAGAATTTGATCAAGATTCAATTGACTCAATAAATCATGCCTCAATCGATTATAATCAAACAATATAGCATCCAAAACTTCATACAAGAAAGATCCTAACACATGGAACTAGGGTTCCTCAAAACCTAAGTGAAGGGAAGTTACTCCATAGAGAAGAGAGAGACTGCAGAAATCTGATCTAGATCTTCAATCTCCATCTCCAAGCTTGATTCCCGAGCTCCAATGGCGAAGAAATCCTCCAAAATAGCTCCAAGAATGTTCCCAAGTCGCTCTCTCTCTAGGGTTCGTCCCTTGGGTATTTGGGATCCAAAACCCAGCTCTCCCCCTTTCCTTTTGCTGAAAATCGGGTTTTAAACAGCAATTCCCGACTCACACGGCCAGGCCACACGGCCGTGTGGCTTTCCCAGCTGCCCGTGTGAAGGCTCGGTGAATTCCACACGGGCAAAAGTGCCCCTTGCACGGCCGTGCGGGTTGTGCCCGTGTGGCTTGCTCAGCCTCTGTTTAATGCTTCGTTTCTCCCTCGTCCGGACTCCGAATCAGTCGCCGTTTGATCCCAGACGCTCGTAGTCTCGTCCTCTTTCTTTTCATGACAAGCTTGCATGATTCTTTGTCCATAAAGTGAGGTAGAAATCCATTCTTCTTCAGGTCATACCCGAGTTTCTTCTCCCGAATCGTCAATTGATCTCTGATTGACTTGAAACTTGCGCCTATGCTTCACTTTATGTGCTAGGACCTGAAATGTGACAAAGGAACACAACCTAGCATAAAATAGGCCAAAGACGCGATAATTCAAGCTGAAACAATCAAGAAACAAAGGGGAAAACATGTGCAAATACCGAGTCATCAGAAATCCGCAGGGTAAGTATCCATTGCTCTAGTAAACTCTCGGATCGCCATATGGTGATGTTCTCTGTCTAGTCTGAATTCAATGTTGTTCGGAAGATCGACGACACCTCAAACATCTCGAATTATGACTATACTAATGAATTCTAGAACGAGTACCCTGTAGATGTTTCTTGAATGCTTAGCAATTTCAGCCACTCCAATTTTTGCATATTGGAACAAATGACTTCTTCTATCCTAAGCTAAGCAAAAAGGATCCAGTTGAGGCACATGTTTCTTCCTTGAAGAAGATCTTGGAGCAATAAGAGATTGGCTTTAAATTGCTCGGGAATATTGTCGAGGAATGCATGAGTGAGGTGTTCCATTCCAACTATTGGGCTAACTTGATTCCCTTGATGATCTTTTTGAGGTTGTTCCAAAGTTGGTGGTTGTTGTGGATTTGGTTCTTCAATATTCACATCCTTCATACATGATTTACTCTTCTCCTTTTTAGAAAAATGGCGGAGACGAGGAGGATTGGAATTTTCTATATTCTTGGAACTCTCTCCTCAAGCCATATCCTTGTGCTTGTAAGTAATCCTACGAAAGAAGCGAATACAATAACATGCAAAAAAACCATAAATACGTTAATCAAATCACATTTGAACTTCTAATATATCCTTAAGAATCATCTATGTTTCCCCACACTTAAGTGGAACAATGTCTGCAAATCTGAAAACATAGATGGAGAAATAGGTCCATGATAAAATTACAAGAATGACATAAGTTTAATAAGAATTTCCAAATTTGAACTACATATATTTCTAAATTACTAATTTATTATTGAAAGGGCACATATGAATTCGAATTCATAGCGTATATTCAGCGGCGTAACCATAAATTCATCTAAGGAAGGATCAATGTGTAGAAAAAATTATAAAGTAAGTTTCATAACGTGTCCAAGTATTTTCATATTTTGAAAGTTTTTAAAAATGTTTTCATCATACAAATTATGAGGAATGTCTTCTTAAGGTACCCAACTGAAAATCATTCCCAATTTCATCACTCATTGGATTCAGAAAAATTTCTTCATATTTATTTATTGTAATAAATGCTCTTTCAGACACTTACAATGAGAACTTGTAGCAACATACGCCACTAAGTATTGCATTTTCATTTATATTAAACTAAATTAAAAAATATATTAATTAGAAGTTAAACAGAGATCAAAAATATTATTTTATCATAAAGTATTTTGCAATAACACGGAGATTGTGTTCAATGCAAAATCAAATAAAAAAATTAAACTACTACATTTTTGTTGGCTAAGGTGGTGCAAAGGACCTTACTTGTTCTCAAGTGGCTCCACCACGGGGTATATTATCTAAGTTGAAAGAGTTTCTTCAATTATAAAAAAATCAATTTGATTATCCTGGTTTACATTAATCAAAGCATCGATCATTGATTTGCGTAAATTATATAAGATAATCAATTTGAATATTTTAGCTCATAAATTGTTACATAAGAACCTATACCAAAGCTTGATAAATTACCATTTCATTAAAACAACAATAACTTTTTTTCTAAAACCTCCATCAAAAGCACTAGTCGATGGTAAATAGTTTTTTTCATAGATAGCAATTTTAAAGATATATAGTTACAAACTACTAAGAAATAAGACATGGTGGTCGACAAATAGTCAAACTGTTGGTGAAAGTGCCTTTTGTATTATTAAGGGGGCAGTCATTTTTTTTTTTTACAAAAGATAATTATATTGATCAAATAAAGCTCACAATTTACATCCTAGAAACCAACCCAGGCAGGAAAATCGTACAATCGACATGAGGTCGGAGACAAAGACAGAGCAATAGTATTAATGTGATTGACATGATAATTAAATAATTAGATTTTTCTACGGATGTTTATAAAAGATTCAGTCAATATTCAATATATCTAAGCTAAGAATTGAGTATATTCACTTATAAATATGCATTCATTATGTTAAAGACAAAACTTATTGTATTATGCATTGAATGTTAGTTGGAAAATTAGTCTATTTTAGATTAATTTTTGATAACCATGTATTGAGATTGTAAACGAGAAAATTTAATATTCATAAAGTACATATTACAAAAGCAAAATAAAATTTGGAGATCCAAAATATATTAAAATATAACTTCAAATTTATAATAATAATCGTATAGAAAATTGCATGGCTATTGGCCCAGTCAAAAGCTAGTATGTATATGTATCAAAAATTGAAAAATTCATACGTAGAAAATATTTGTGTTGCTGGCAACTCTCTTGAACGAATCCTTCCTTGTTCGAGAAGCCAATGGCACAATCAAACCACCCCTTCTCCCCTCTGCCGACCCCCTTTCCTCATTTCCTTCCCCTTATCTCCTCCATTTCAACAAACAAACAAGCTAACCAACACAACCACATTTTTTTTTCTTGCTTTTTTAGAATTACAACATCATTCCTACCTCATCGCTAATCCACCTGCGACACCCAATTTTATTTTTCACAATTTAAAAATACAAAAAAAAGAAATTGTAAAAAAAAAAAACCTGGTTTCCCTCTAATTCCTCACCTCCTTTCAATTCAAACCTATCCAACGAAATCCCAACAACAAAAAAAAAAAAAACTCCAAAACCGCTCTGAGCTCCTCCGTCGCCGCCTTCCTCCCAGCGGCCGGCCGCCATGAACGACCGTGCCAATCACAATGAGACCGTTGTCCCCATCCTTGATCTCGACGATCTCAGCGTGATCTCTCCGGTCGGCCGTGGGGCAAAAGGCGTCGCATTTCTAGTAAGGAATCATCCTTTCGGCGAGTCATGGGCTCTCAAAGTCATCCTCCGTGATTTCGTAAAGAGGAAGAACCCCGCTGTCACCAACGCCAAGGATGGGAGCGAATACAAGCGGATCTGGTTGGAGCAACGGGTCCTCAGCCGCTTCAAGCACCCCCTTCTTCCTCGCCTCCATGGCATTCTAAGCACCGACAAGATTATTGCGTACGCCATTGATTATTGCCCAGGCCGCGACCTTAACCAGCTGCGCAAGAAACAGACAGAGAATATGTTCTCCCAAGCCATTATCAGGTCAATTATTTATTGGTAATATAGGTTTCTCTTTTTATGATTAAGGTACTATTTAAGGAATTCGAACCTGAGACTTCCAGGTTCTAGACTAATGGTATTACCACTAGACCAAGCTCTTGTTCGTTGAACGAATTCATCAATTGATCGAATCTCTTTGCTTTTTGACAGATTTTATGCGGCAGAATTGGTTTTGGCATTGGAATACCTCCACAACTCCGGCATTGCCTATAGGGACTTGAAGCCGGAGAACATTTTGATTCAAGAGAACGGCCACATTATGCTCGTCGACTTCGACCTCTCGACCGAGCTCCCTCCTCCTCCAACTCCTCGTAAATCGAAGACGACGAAGCTCCCCGCCACTGCGGCGAGGTCCAACTCCGCCCGACGGAAACGAGCATTGAGTTTACAGCTCTTCTACAAGTGCTCTTCGGGGGTTATGTCGGAGCAATTTAGCGACTCCGGAAACCGGCGTCTCCCGTCGGAGTGTCATCAGCACTCAATGTCGACGGTAGGGAAATCGAATTCGTTCGTCGGGACGGAGGAATACGTGGCGCCGGAGGTCATCCAAGGGTACGGCCACGATTTTGCGGTGGATTGGTGGTCTCTAGGGGTGGTGATGTATGAGATGCTGCACGGACGAACTCCGTTCCGGGGGGCAAACCGGAAGGACACGTTCTACCGAATCTTGACCCAGCCGCCGGAGCTTGCCGGGGAACCAAATCCGATGAGGGACTTGATCGGGAAGCTTTTGGTGAAGGATCCGAGGGAGAGGATCACGGTGGAGGGAATCAAGAGCCACGGGTTCTTCAAAGGGCTGGATTGGGATTCAGTGGTGGAAGTATCGCGGCCTCCGTACATACCGCCGGGCGACAAGAAGGAGGGCAATTTTTTTAATAGGAGCATCGACGTGGAGTCTTTTGTCGAGAGAGTATTTAGCGTCAATGGCGGCGGAGAAATGCAGAAGGAGGAATTGATTAAAGTAGGCGGCGGCAGCGGCGAGCAAGAAAAGAATCGCGGAGGAGAAGTAGAAGAAGGAGAAAATAAAAGGGAAAACCCACCTCCACGTGATGATGCTCAGAATTTTGTTGTTTTCTGATATTTCTCAGATGTCTAAAAAAATTTCATAGTACATATCAATGAATTATTATTATTATTATATTTTTTGTTGACGCTTGGAGAACTTTTCTCTCTCTTTGTTTCTTTCTTGACGTGCTTGATGTTTCTTGTTTTTTTTTTTTTGGCAAATGACAATTATTACCAACGAGGCCTCCTCAAGTATCGTTAGTAATAAGCGTACCTGAGCATCTTTATTGATAATCAACCCAGACAATAAGCTAAAATATTATGAGCTATAAACATAAATGGTTTGTTGCATATCCCTAACAAGGTAATCGACGATGGGGGAAGCGTTGGGTCAATTTCTCGATCAATTGGCATCTCTTTCTTCAATTCATTTCTTATAAAAACGGATTTTGGGGCAAGATGAAACAATAAGGATTTTGTGTCTTGGAGATTAGTTCGTTCTAGTTTTCAAACGTAGATGTGGGTCAATTTGACCGAGAGAACATGATGTACCTTCATAAGTTAAACTTTGGTACTCAATTGGCCCATTATGGTTTCAATTGCCAAATTTGTTGGCTGAGATAGTAACGAATGAAAGAATCGGGCGTACATATTGCAAGCTAATTGGGCATATCTATTTGTATGGACTATCCTACAAATAGCGTGAGGGGGTGGGGGTGGTTAGGGGTTCTAAAGGTTTGCGTAGTAATTAATGCAAAGACTAAACTAGTACACAATCTGAGTGTTAATTTTGATGGCCCGCCACAGATGTTTATGGATGTCAAGTATTGTCATGTTCCTACAATTTGTTCTTTGTGTTGTCTATTTGTGTTGTCTATTTCGTAGTTCGTCATAATTCAGTTCCTCCTCCTCCAGGAGATGTTTGTAGATGTTGAGTATTGTCATGTCCCTGCAATTTGTTCTTTGGGTTCATCTTTTTGGACATGACTGCTCTCTACCCTATAGAAATTTGTTCTTAGGCCTTCCATAGTTCGTCGTTCAGTTGCTCCTCCTCCTCCACCTCCAAAAGGTAGAGGCAAAGAGACGAGGAAAGGTAAATGAGAGTATTTTGTTTAAACAAAGAGATTTATGCAGATATTTCAACTTAGGCTAGAGAGGTAGAGTCCTAATTTGAACAAGCACAATTTGTTGTGTTAGAAAATCTAATAGCATAATTTTTAGAAAAAAAAGGAGGGGTAACTCGCTCAACTATGGAGGGAAACATAGAAATCCGAACAGATGTACTATAAGTAAAAACTTGTACTAAATGGATACAAGACGGAGACATGAATACTGCATTCTTTCATAAGGCAGTGAGGACTAAAACTCGCAAGAAAAAAAATTATTAGCTCAAAGATGAACAACGACATGAGGTAACAATTGTTAAAGAAGCGGGAAAAGTGGTTGTAAAATTTTACCAGAAGTTGATTGGTGAAGAGAATGCAGAAGGCCAGAAGGAGCTAGGGGAGTACTTATCATAATCAACTGAGTATAAATGTGGTTGAGGATTGTGAATTTTTGAATAGTTTTGTAAAAAGAGAACATATCCAAAAAAAAAAAATCAAGGGTGATTGTAAAGACAAAGTGATCTAATATAGAACAAGGGTCAAATACATCTAGCAGGTAATCATGATTGTATTCTCTCTAGACCTTTCGTCCCCACTACTAATTCAATAGGAATTTCATTGCATGTGTTTAAAAATGGATATTAGGGGTTGAGGAGCCCGTATTGTTGAGCTTTCCCTTGAGTTCCTTAGACTCACTCCATAACGATAAGTGACATATACATAAGTGATTGAGAGTGTCCACACAGATTTTCTTCACTCACTATGCTTCCTCATCCTTCCATCTACTTACCTACCATGGATTCCTCCTTTGGATAGGGATTAGGGAGACACATTTGTCAGCCAATTAATTGCATATTTTATGTAGCGTAGCATAGGTCATTGGTGCACGTGTATTACATTCAATGCACAAATAATAAGGGCTTCTTTGTTACAATCCATGCAATATAATGGACAAACACATGACTTGATATTAACATATAGAGGAAATATTGAAACACATTATATATATGTGCATTCACAACTCGGGCCTTATGGACCTCGACAAAGTTAAAAGGAGTATTTCATTACTATCATCAAAACAGTACCTATCAAAATGACACCATAAAGCATCGAAAGTAAGTGTACCTTACCGTAAGCCCGTCAATTTTTTTAATTAGATTTTGAATCAGTCGGAGTTTGAGGCATGATACTATACCCTAACCTCTAATTGGTGAACCTCAGTCCCCAATTCTCTAACTCAAACCATAAGATCCATTTGATCTCAAAATGAAAACCAGCGGTTTTGATTCGTCGAAATTATCCAAGTACAAATAATAAGTGTGAACTTAGGCGTATAGCATACGCTATATATATATATATATATATCATATATATATATATATATATCATATATATATATTATTGAGTTTCTTAACGTATTGTCTCCATTATAAGAAATGTTTCGTTGGAAATGATATTATTTGCGAGTGATAGCTTGCTCCGTCAGAAAAACTCTACCCTTTTCTACCATCAATTACTAGTCTTCGAAAAAAGTTGGCCGTAATAAATTTACATTGCAACGTATCAACGAAATCGTCAGAATTATCATTGTATTTTTGAAAAGGAATGCATATTTATGGGAGATAATTTATCATATATAAGTTGTTATAATCAAGATCTTGGTCATCATAAATAAAATGTTAAGATTACTAGTCTTCGAAAAAAGCTGGCCGTATATATATATGGTGCCTTCTACGGTACCCCAGATAAAATCCGGGGTACCGCATACCCTGAGTATGAAAACGCTATCTAGAACTCGAATTAGCAGAATTTTTGGGCATGATACTATACCATAACCCTTAATGAGTGAACGCTAGGTCCTAATTATCTAAATCTAAACTATAAACCCTAAGATGGTGCATTGATTTTTTTGCCTATATTTGGACGAATCATAACCGTCAATTATTGTTTTTAATTAAATTGATCTTGACGAATAAGATTTAGAGAATTAAGACCTAGATTTTGATCTTTAAGGGTTAGATTATAGTATCACGTCCGAAAGATCAGTTAATTCAGGTTCTGGATATCGTTTTCTTACTCAATGTATGTGGTACCCCGGATTTCACCCTGGGTACCATAGAACTCCCCATAT